ACACACACACAGACATATATATATATATATATATATATACATATATATATATAGAGAGAGACATATATATATATATATATATATATATACACACACACACACACACACACTCACACACACACACATATATATATATATATATATAGTGTGTATAATACATATATATATATATATGTGATATAATATATGTGTATATCTATATATAGCGCTTATATATATATATATATATATATATATATATCATATATAGTGTTTCTAAGTATAAGAGCGTCAGTATAATATATATATATATATATATATATATATATATATATATATATATATATATATATATATATATATATATATATATATATATAATTCATAATATATAAATATATATATATATATGTATATATATATATATTTATATTATAATTTATATATATATATATATATATATATATATATATATATATATATAGTACATGTTTCTATATACATATACAAACGTGTATATATATATATATATAAATATCATAAATAGTATTCATCATTACAAGTATATTCATATATATATAACATTATGTATTATTTATTTAATTTATATATATACAAACAGCACTTGTTTATGATATATATATTTAAGTATAATATATATATTTATATACGTATATTTTATATATATATTTATATATAGTTTTAATACAGACCACGAAGGAATCGCATGTCGCAGAATGACCACTATGCACTACAAACGTCCAAAACATGCTGCTAATATCATAAATAAATGTTGTTAATTGTTAAGTGATACTAATTTTATTTGTTATCCTCTACATTCTCGGAGTAGGTCATATGTTTATAATCTATTAAACTTTGACGACTACCTTTCCTTTGTTTCTGTGCGTGTTCTCGAACAGACTGTTGAACGCTGTGGCCCATTGTTCCACTCCGTTGTAAGTAGTTTCCTCAACCTTGACTTTTCCTTCCTTAATCCACTGGGACATATCACCCAAGAAATTGCCTTGCTGACCCGTTAGCCACGGAGTGCAGACGAATCCCTCGATACGCTGTGCTGTGTAGATTAGACTGAGAATGTCCACCTCTTGCCTAGGACCATCTTTGTCGTTGTATCCCGAAATACCACCACATACGGCAACACGACCCTGGGAGAGATAGAAAACGTGATATCCCGAAAGAAGCCGTATAAGAAAACAGGCACTTTACTCCTATGCGATAGATGAAACGTAATTCCGTGCCTATCGTTCAGGTATAATACGCTACACGCGGAGCATGAATTTAATTTAGCAAATGGCAGAACAACCTTCTTACATCGGTATAAACGCTCATTGACCATTTACGAGCAATCAACTGCGAACATGTATAGCCAAACACTGTTCATTATGCACACTATCCCAGCCTTTGATCACGACTCGAGTATGATATATATATACTGTGCCACGAGTGCGCGTTGTGTTCATTTATCAACGGTTAAAGCGCGGCTATGGCGTACTGGTGCGACCACTGCCACAACTGTCCTGCGATTTAAAGAGATATGCCCCACTATGGAGATATTGCAACAATTGTTTACCTTCGGTCTGAGGCTATTCATGGCTGCGTCGAAATGGATACCCCCTACATTCTCAAAGTACATATCGATTCCCATGGGCACAGCTTCCTTTAGCTTAGCCTTCAACTCCGCAGCGCCTTTGTCGGCTCCTGTGAGTTATTATTTAACGCAAATGAGTCGTGATGCACAACGTTTCAAAGAGAGTGTGTAGTAAGCGAATATGTCACAAGCACAATATTTAACAGATGCGTCGTTGATAACAATATGCTTGGTTGGTATACGAGGCGATATGAAACACTAGGCATACTTCACACCCATATATATCCGCATGTATTTTCGGAAAATGCTGCCAGTACTGTTGTGGATTCATACTAAAAATTCTCTCATCTTATATGTATAGTACGCGCATAAATACGCTACCTGCCCGAAGAATTAAAACAAATACTAACCTGACTGATCGATTGATTTGTAGTCAATGGCATGGTCGTAGCCAAAATCGGATTTGATGTGCTCACACTTCGCCTGGCCACCGCACGATCCAACGGTTGTGCACTTGTATACGTTCTTGGCGATTTGGCCAACAATTGAACCCACGGCGCCACTTGCTGCACAAATGATAACCAATTATGTATAAGTAAGTAAGCGAGTAGCTCCATCACATATAGATATTGTAGAAATAAATGTCTGACAACATCACATATGGACCATTGTATGAGTAAACGCGTGTGACACCATCACATACAGATACTGAATGCGAGTTAATGTGTCACACATAAAATTTCCAACCTTGCACTGTGGTAGTGATCAATCTGCAGACATAATTTTGTACTCTTCTTTATAACCTCGACTTAGCAAAGTGTGTACGAACCTATTCAACCACACTGAGGTGACATGTGGTAACAACGCGGCTCGAGCAATTGATTTATATTTCATGACAGGGTTATAGGCTTGTAGTTGTTTAGGGATATATACCTGTTGTGACAAATCTTATCGAAATTCACCAATAAGCTTATATGTGATCACGAGGGGCAACATCAACGCGCATACACAGGTGTATGACGCATATCACCACAGATGCACATACTAATATTAACTCATCAATGTCAACAAGGAGCCGACAATTCTCAAGCAACAGCCCAGTGTAGACGAATGTGCGATGTATGAGATCACCTACCAGCAGACACGAAGATAGTCTGGCCTTCCTTTGGCTCTAGCACATCGATGAAACCTCCGTACGCAGTGGAGCCGGGCATTCCAAGTGCTCCAATGCCCTGAGAAGTTTAGAATAGCGGGCGAAAGTAAGACTTTCAATGTCCGTAAAAGCGAAGAACTGATCGAACAAACGGGAATAACAGCTTCTACAACCAAGCGGAAAACAATCCAAGTCAAGACGTGCAATGTACAGGGCGTTTGATAGCGATACAGATAGCGCATACGATATCAGAGACAACGTGGGTATGAGGGTATTTGAAGTACGTCCGCACAGATAGCGATTAAGTATGAGCACAGTGCAGCAACGTGTATGAGACTTACCTGAGATAGGCTCTCCTCTCCAATGTATTGGGAAAGATTCCACAGGCCTGCTACCGCCTTTGCTGGTACAACTTGTACGGTTGACAGGGGCAGACTCCCACCGAACAGATCGTTTACTTTCCAGTTTTCATTGCGTGAAGCGAGAATCTGTCAAGTGGGATTTTGAATATGTACAAGCGAAATGAGACATAGTTGCTAACGATTCCACAGATGAGATTTAGCACCTTACTCATTCAGCAAGAACTGTATGCACAAATGAATCACAATTCCTTATTCTTTAAGACATAAAAATGAATACAGGCAGATGTATACACATACAGACAAAACAAAACCTATATAATAGTTGCATACAAAATATATATGATACAGATTTATACAGTGTCTTTATGTATACAGATATAGTATATACTCACACACAAAAAAGTACACAATTCTATACCCAAACCCCTACTAGTATAAATGTAATATATTAGGGTTTAGAGTTTGAAAAAATTATATTCATGTGAATGTATGTCCGTGTATTTTTTTTAATAAGTGCTCATACGTATATATATATATATACAGACGAGCATACAGTACTTAATTCCTTGTTATTGAAGTAATATACAAACACTCAAACACATTCAATAATTCATCCAAGTTTGACATTGGTTCAGATGTCCACCACATTTTATCTACATTCTTTCAATACTTACGATTCCGGATACGAATGCGCTGACAATCTTCTTGCCTTCTTCTGCCGGTCGGCCTTGCGACTTCAAAAATCCTCGCATGTAAGGATCACATGACATATACCGAACCTCCACAATCACTGCGCCGTCTTCCTCTGGCTGGTTGTCCGCAGTTACACCACTCAACTCAGATTCCTTGATCTCGAAGTGTTCTTCTTTCGGCGCACCAGACTCCAGGAACCCTTTCTGCCAAACTGATTTTACTGCAACCATCTTGTATTTAACTTTATATTACAAGTACCTTAGGAACCGATGTAGTATGAATTTGGTGCAATTATGTGTCCTTCTTTGCGCTTATGTAGTCCTGCGACATTCGCATACTTCGTAGAGAAAGTTGAAAATGTGATGTGCTTTTAATTTACAAACAACAAAACACTGCTCATGCAATGAAATTATAAGAGTATTATTTTAATTTTATTACGAGATAGTTACATATGTGCATACATATCTTTTTTTATTACAAACAACAGATGTCACGCCCGTCACTGGGATGTCATTTTTTTTAATGAATACGCCTAATGCGAATTGATGACTTGATGGCTGACTTGATGGCTGACGCCGATGGCTGATGCACCTACAACATGTATGTACTCTCTAAAAATAGTAGCCACTACTGAGAATAGTAGAGAGTAGCGTAGCCAACTACTCGGGGGTAAACGCTGAATGTAAAAATGTAAAAAAGGAACGGGAAGGGGGGGGGGGCGGGGATTTTTTAAAAACGTAAAATATTGACTAAAACCGTAAAACTGAAATGCCCCAGGGCCCCAGCACCCAGGCCCCCAGCCGCCCAGAAAATGAGATGTTTTATTTTTTAGCCGATGACATTCATGATTCAGCCTTTAGCGGTTCAGGCTTCAGGAATAGCCTCCTAAAAAAAACACTTCAGAGTTCAAGCTTCATCTTTCAGGTGAAATAGCCCCGACTTCCCGAGTCCCCCACTCACAGACAAGAGTAAAGTTGAAGTTCCGCGAGCGGCGAGACCCGATGGCCGATGGTACCATTTAAAATAGTCCATTATAGCACCATGTTTCGCTTGATTTTTTAGTTGTAAGAGCGATAGAAAAAAAATTCTACAACACCGATGGTACAATTGAAAAAATTAGTTCATTATAGCACCACGTTTTACTTCAATTTTTAGTTATAAGAGCGATAAAAAAAAAGAATTTCTACAACAGGGGTATATAAAACTACAATAAACCTAAAATATTTACAATATAAATAAATAACGAGTTTTAATATATTTTTTAGATATATATATATCTCTTTTAACACCCCATCCATAGACCAAGGGGATTAAATCGGGCCGAAAATTAAGAACAGTTCCTGACTAGCTAAATCTGGAATTCTATTTATTCTTAATATTTCTTCTTCTTCAAGATTATTTATCTGCGAAGGCGCTAAGGTCGCAGTACAAGTAGAACACCAATGCGAAGGATTACATCGGAATCCTCCAAAACGCGATTATTGGGTCTAAATAGGCATGATTAGTAAAGTTTCAATGTTGTCACGTACAAATATTGTCCAAACAATATCGTATATGCGTTCTTATATCCATAATGCAAGCTACAGCTGCTAAAATCGAGAAACAGTGTATTCACGGTATTTGATGTGCAATACCATCGATTGCACGATGAATAAAATGGATGTCATTGATTGACATGCATGCACTTTTTTGAGCAAGTATAATAGGCTATCTATACCATAATAATGGGTTTTGAAGTAATAAAACTTATATTTATTATATATGAGAACCCTTAGAAGGTTCAAAATGTTAATACGCGACCCGGAAATCCAAGATTTGGCATGGTCGAAAAGTGCACAATCGTGTTCATTCATCGATACATAACTCATGAACCAATAGAGCTATCAACTTGACGCCTTCGCAAAATTCTCTTTAAATGTTTCTAAAAAAAGTCTAGAAAATAGTATTGGGATTATATCCAAAACCGGATTTAGTGAATTAGGGTTGGTTCTTAAAAATCGACTCCCCATAGTATATGGATGGGGTTGGGGTTATATCCAAAACCGGATTTAGTGAATTAGGGTTGGTTCTTAAAAATCAACTCCCCTTAGTATATGGATGTTAAAATATACAAAACAAGAACAAAACTTAAAAAACAAACAAACAACAAGTCCGCGTCTCCGCGTCCTGGTCCGCGAGAGGTCTATTTTAAAAATATCGAGTTTTCTAAAAAATCACAAGGCTCACATTATACACCTCGATTATTCCAGATTTCATTAATAATCACAGTACAAATGTACAATGGTGGTCATTATTGCCTTTAAAACAATTTTCTTCTATTTTTATCATCGTCTATTATAAAAAATAGTCATGAATGTCTCTGTTTCAATTTAAAAGGCTTTGTGAACTCGCATGACTAAAAAAACAACAAGACAAACCACTAATTTTTATTTATTATGTATGTTCATCCGATTCTGATTCTGTTCAGAAATTCCTGATCCCGTTTGGCATTCAGTTTTCATTCCCTACTTCTCTCTCTCTAGTAGTAAATAGTAGTATTTAAGTGGTCAGATGCCCGTTTGTATTTAAAAAAAAAGATAAATACCCCCTCAATTCTAACTTTTTCAAATTCTGGGTTTTGTTTATAAAAACAACAACAAAAACAACAACAACTAATATCATCCTCGGGAACGTTCTTATGTACAGTATTTCTTTAATATATATTCTATTTTGTAAAAATAATAGCAATAAAAGATTCTATTTATAAAAAAAAGAGCATTGTTATTTAAAAAAAAACCAAGTCATGACCATTGACAGCTTGGCTACGGGAAGGTTCAATTCCTTTTTTCTGTAAATCAAACAAAGCTTGTATCGCCGCCTGAAATTAGAACAAACAAAGGTTTAGAAAAAACCAAAAAAACTAAAACAAGTACAACTTAGTCAAATCCCAAGAAGAGTGAAGACTGAAGAGTCCCGAGTCACGAGTCACGACTCACTCACGAGTCACGAGTCACAGACTCGCAGACAAAAACTATGATGATTCTTACAAACTGTCTACACATTTACATAAATACTGTACACTCTTTTGCACAGCTCATAACTGATATTACTAAAAAAGAAAGAAAGCAACGGTCCCAATTCCCAACAATAGAATCTATTTAAACTTAACAATGAACGAGAATAATTCCGATTATCTATCTATCCGTCTGGCGCCCGGTCTATTAAACGATGACGGTAGAAAACAATAGCCTCCTTTATTATTTAGTCCACCTTGCTTTGAGAAGGCGAACTTTAATAACCCTCTACAATAACAAAACCTAGCAACGAAACATCAATTTCGGAGTAATATATTACATATGTATAGGTACATATTTATTTTCACTCATGCATTATATTAACACACACTACTGCTGCTGTATGTTTACTTCACGCTTTAAACAAACTTATCACCACACTAAGCGTATTTTTTTTTGGATGTGACACTTTTTAAGAGCTACACTACACTAGTTATCAAATATCATGTGGAGAATAAAGTCATCAATAAGACAGTCAGAACGATCTAACTCACATAAAAGCTTTCGAACTAAGGAGATCACTGCACCGAGATCGCGTGGAGGACAGAACAGGGCAGACAGTCTGAGCGATATAATGGTGGTAGGCATAAAAATTTCCGTGTATATATACATATATATATAAATATATAGATATATATACACACACACACACACACACACACACACACACAC